TACTATTTTTTTCCTCATGCCTAAAATGTCAATATTGTTATTAGTTACAGCACATCTGCTTATTGTAAAGCAATCTAATCCGTGTGGATGGAAATATGAAGACAAACAAATAAAAACAAATTAAATAGTGATAGTTTTAAATTTTATAAAATTAATATTAAAAGATATCTGACTATGTGCCTGAAAAAATATAGAATAAATGCTACTTTTCTTTTCTTTCTAATTATTTTTTTAATTTAAACCATGAATTATTTTTTTATTATGTAGGCATATTTAATGAGGATTCTCATCAAACTTTTTTTGGTAAATTATTTTTCAATTGCTCTTATTTTAAAGGTCAATTTTAATTAGTCGACTTCTTCTTAATCGATATTTTACAGTTCGAATACTTACTACCATTGACAGTCCATTGTAACAATGTGTTACGCTGGTACTCATGACAATAACTTTGGATGCAGTTTTTTTTATGTCCTTCTTCTTCCTTTAACTTACATTTTGGTAATTTTTTAGGTTCAACTTAAGATTGAAGTTTTACGTTTAAGTTGAAACATGAAATTTACCTTTGTTTATCGCCGTAGAAAATTTTCTACTTAGCAGATATTCCGCATTAAATTTTCTACTTATATAAATTGTACAGTCACTTTAAAAATCGATTTTTAAATAAAATATGTTTTTATTAGTGTACACATTTATCGAGGAGCCACAAAAGAAAATACTTTAGCCTGCTTTCTGGCAAAAGTGGTATTGCATTAGATTCGTGAATTATATTTGGCACGCAATCTAGATCTCACTGCTTCTGGTCCTTGAGTTATAATATTTTTGAAGTTCGTTGTTTATGTGAACTGAATCGCTTACACGTTTTGGTCCGAATCGAAATCAATAACGTGAATTGAAATTAAAATGGACTAGACACAATTATATCCGAAATTCTTCATTTGATTCCATTTATTACTAATACCTGCCTGTTCGTATATCAGATTAGATGATTGCGTGATACTCAAGTTAATGAAACAAGATGATATTTTTGGAAGATATTTCACTTAACTGTAACCTTGTACCATCAATATCTTCACAGAAGCACTTTACTTGGAATTCGGTTACTAACCAACATGAATCGGCAAAAATTGAGCAAGTCACCTTTGCATTAAAAAAACTGAAAATACCACCTGTTGTACTCTCAGCGTTGGTCAAGAATGTGAAGTGGAGTGCGCGAAATGCCAAGAAATTGGATCAGTGAGATGAGACATTTTCCGAAAAATACCACCTGAAAGGTTGAAATTAGAAAATACTTTTCAAGGAATAGGTAAATCAAGAGACATGTTGATATGCTCCGACAAACTCCCTATGATATAAAAGAATTTTATGACATCTCAAAGCAATTGTCTACGAAACATGAGGTCTTATTTCTAGGACTATGTAAATTTTTTCGAAACATTACTTCTGTAACAAGCGGTCCAATCATTATTATAAGCATAATAGAGAAACAGTCTGGTTACTATTTAAATGAAAATTAAACTTTTTAAGAAGTATACCCAATATATTCACTTAAGATACGATGGTATTGAATTAGTTAAATCCATATATAGTAACTTTCGAGATAAATTTTAATCAAGTATATTTCATAAAAAAATAATAAAATTAAATCTTTCGTTGTATTACTAATTGATGATGACGAAGACAGGTCTTTTCATCAGGGGAGCCGTGGAGATTTCGAAACACTGAAAACGTCTATGAAATGGGGAATTATAAAACAGAAGATAAACCCCCTGCAAGACAAAGAAGCGTATAACAGTCCAATCGTGGTATGTACCAACAGTCCAATCATGGATTCGCTGATTGAGTGATTGCATTTTCTTTGATTAAGAGTTCTCCCATTTTCCGAGCACGTTTCCCATTTCGCCGACTCCCGGTTATATAAACCGCTTTGCGGGCCGGGCCATCCACCTGTGCTCAAGACGATTCTTTTGAGCTGGGGTCATCTGAAGGTGTATGAATTCGTACTGTTCCATGGATTATTAATTTAAATTAATTTTCATGGAACATATTAAATCTTTAAAAGGATTTGTAATGGATGTTTTTCATTATTTATAGAACAGCGCATATATGGATTAGAATTAATGGAAATGATGATTTATTATTCACGTTTTCTAACACGAATAACAAACTGATCTGAGCACAACGGTACTCTAAATAAAGTTGCTTGGTAAGATTATTTTCCTGTCATACCTAGCGGAAAAAAATATGTAAACTACAATCTCGACTTTGTTCTAGAAATTTGAACCGTGTAAATGGGTCTGTAGAGCTGTGGTGATCTCCACTGGTGGTCGAAAACCATAGTAGTTAACTACAATTTCTAGGGCGAAGCTTTGTTCGAGATACTTAACCGTGCATAATGGCTTAACTTCTGCTCACATTCAAAAGGTTTTATTATAACGTCAGCTAAAAATTTCTTGATGGAGATGGAGATTTTTCTTACTTGTTATACAGAGGCTTGTCTTAATATGTTGATCGTTTGCTAATTATATAAATTAACATATTGTTAACAATAAATATATATAAGAAGTGGATCAGCAGGCACTTAGAACCACACTACTGGTCTAGGAATTGGCTGACCTGGATGAACGGGATCGCCTACTTTAAATATTTGAAGTAGTGCCAGCTAAGTGGAATGTCCTTCTTCAAGGCTTGCGTGTGCTCACTATCTGGTCCAGTGGTTAGGCTACAAACTGTCAGTTATGTTCGTTTGTGTACCGCTTTATGTGCCATATTTCTGTTTACTATATTAATGGTACACATAAATTCAACGCATAAAGCGATGCATAAAAAAGTATGACTAAAGAAACTGATAACGTCTGGGTCATGTGTTACTTTTGACGTTTGGGTAGTCTTTACTTGTGCTGAGTCTTGCCGATTACCTCAACAGAACTGATATGAAATACACTTAAGCTGTTGTCGCACCAGTATGAAGCACTATTTGTGAGCTCGACCTGATGAATATGCCATATTTCGGATTTTCTCGGTATATTTCATTTAGTACGAGTCATTTTGAAGAAAGAGCGATTTTAAAATTTTTTTATTATCTTAATTTTTTTATTCACACCTTTTACTAACGAAAGTGATGATAAGCAAATGTGCTGACATTAACAGTTATGATATATCAGGCATAGGGAAGTATGATACCTAGCATTACATCTCTCTGCCCTTGATCAAGTCCCTTGATTCTTGAAAGGAGGTCTCTCATCAAGCTCCTTTTTATTCGTCTTCTGATAGCCAAGTCAGCCATGTCTATATCGTTTCTTCTTGCTTCTTGTTATGTCCCTGAAGTTTATTATGATAGCGGGAATGAGTACTGATATGTTGGCCAATTGTGAATAGTTGTAAGTCGCTATTTACATAGCCAATGGTGATATTTAGAGTTTTATTTAGGTTGATATCAGTATAAAAATTTTGGTTGGAAAATATTGTAGTTGTTTTAAGTGTGTCTTTTTTTCCTGAATCATAAATTTGTGAGGCGTATGTTCATATGGGTTTAATTAGATCTGCATGTATTTAGTTTCTGTCTAATTTTAAGTTTTTATGATTTGAACAAAATAAAGTTATTTAAATCGGTTCTTTAAATCCTTTTCTTTCATTTTGACCATATCAAATATGAGAATATTTAAAAAAAAATTAATTAATCTAAATTATTAATTTTACTTTATTATACAAACTGATAAATATTAAATACGATACAGTGATTCTTTGTCCCATTATTCTATCAATATCGTAGTTTTCTAATCCTTTAGCCGTTAATTAAGTAATGGAAGCATAGATACATGACCTAAAGATATCCTTTTATATTTAAAAGCGTGGATTTCAAATTGATATAAGAAAATATCATACACCGTAAATCTACAAAATCATATAAAAACTATTTTTAGATTTAAGGAATATGATAAGATTAGAATAAGCAGAATTTTCGAGATATAATTGACCCAATGCGCAAGATTGGAACATTTAAAAATGTTAAAATAAATTTTGAATTATATAACAATCCTTCCCTCCTCCCCCCCCCCAAAAAATATGCAATTAAATTGAGTAAATGAACTCCACTCCAACAATAAATTGTATATTAAATTAATTAATTAATCCTGATGAATGATTACTGTTACTCTTACTTTTTATTTTATTTTTTAATTTAATAATTTGATCAACGATTCATCCCTAACTTTTTTATATTATTTTGCTGAAATAAATGTTTAAAGGCGTTGTTTTAAAAATATATTTGTCTAATTTGTAAATAATGAGGATGAATATATATATATATACATATTCAATGAAAATATTTTATAACTAATATTTATAGAATAAAATGAGTTAGTAATTTAATTTTTATTAGGGTAGTATTATTATTTTTTCGTTATCAATCATGTCTAGTTTTCTAAATTTTATTTTTAATATTTATTTTTTAAGCAACAAAATTAAGTACGAAATGTAATAATCTAATGGTGGGCACGTGTCTTGTTTTATGCATTCTTAATTTACTAACTGCGTTTATTATATATTATTGCGACATTTATTATTATTATTTAATGCAGGACTTATATTAAATAACATTATGTATATTAGTATCATGTTTAGTTTTAAATTTATTTGAATAATGTGGATTGGGATAGATGACAGGAGCTAGTTACTTCAGTAGTTAAAAGTTAATTTACAAGTTAAAAACTTGTAAAAAGACAAAAAAAAAAACAAGGAAATATTAAAAAAAATATTTTGTTTTCATAATAGTCAAAGACCTTTTGATCAATGACACGAAAGATAACGAAAATATTGCTCTGGAATTATTTCGCTTGAAAAAAAGATACGATATCACCAATGTATTATCCGTTGATAATATGAGTCATAAATATTTTTTAAAAAAAACCTTCAATTGTCGACAGTTAATAAATATATACGTTTCAGATTGATCTTATTTCTTATCTTAACAGCATTGGGTATATGTTTAAAATAACCAATGTATGTGTTCATCAGAAAATCTATTTATATACATTACGTTTATTCCACAGGCCTTATTCTCAGGTCGAAAATAAAATTGTATTTAGTTAATTTATTACGGTATGCAGTGAGCAGTTACTATGGTGTAAGTATAAAAATAATTCGTGCAGATACAGTTTATTATACAAAAAAGAACATATACATAATGAATTTCTTTTAGTAATGTTTAAAGTGGTAAAGTGATTGGAAATGGTGCTCAGAAATATCGAGTAATAACCTCATTTATTGGTAACTGTAACCAAAATTAAATCAAAAATTGTTTTGCTTTTAGTCTTGCGTCTGATTTTGTTTCCGACGGTGCAGTTTTGTTATTCGTAACAATACCGACTATGACAGTTACAGTGACTTCGCGAGTGACTGCGGTTTACGCTGTAGAGACGTAAGGTTGCCCCCAGCAACAGTGAAAGTACACCGTTTACTAAATCGATTGTTACAATTCAAAGCCAGTGCAACAATGGCCGCTGGGCCCTTACATTATCTATAACTGCTGTTTGCTTCATACTCGGATCCTGGAAACGATCCGACTAATTGTCGATAATTCACTTAGAACGGTTGCCGAATATTTCCGAGCGAATTGGCCCTCGTTGAGTAACCCCGGAGGATCTCATCTGGAAAACAGTCGGATCCCATTATTGTAGGATCTCTTTAAAGAATGAGTTCTTTCACAGAGTTTTTTTCATAGCCTTTTATCTAATATCAATGAAGAAAAAAGAAATTGAATTAGTCCATTCATCCATTGAAGACGAGCTTTGTGAACGGATGTAACAAACTGACATAAAACTAAATCATGAGCGTAATCAGAGAGAGCAAGGTAGCCCAGCTGCTAGGTTTCGCTTCCTAATTAGTTATTTAATTAAGAATACTCACTTTTTTATTATCCTTAAGTTATGCCCCAGGACTTGGAGAACATGATCACTGTACCTTACTCACTGCGTTACCTCGCTTCCGATTCAAGAGAACAATATTATATTATCGATATAATTATTATATATAATATTATCGAGAAAGTCTATTCAACACGCAAAAATGGTAAAACATCTTTCTTATACTTTTTTTTTTTTTTGTGGTATACATATTTCTAAGGTTAGAGACGAGAAACAATATATATTCTAAAAAATGTATTAAGATCATTTGTCAATTTTAAGATTCAAGTTATAACATAAATATTGAAGTAATAACACAAAAACAATTAAAAGTTCAAATATTAAGCTTGTGCTTCATCTGAAGTGTTAGAAGAAAAAAAAATACTATAATCACTCGTTAAAGTTTCAGTTCAATGATAAGATAATAGTCTTCGGATCGTGAAGTTGAAGTGTTTCGATAAGTACTTATGTTTCAAAGCCTGCCATTTTCAATTGTTAAGATTACATTTGTTTTTTCACTTCATTTCGTTGTTATAAGAGATTTTTCCTTCTTATCAGAAAAAAACATTGATTTCCTCAATGTTAACCTAAAAGATTATTTTTTAAAAAATACGTTACATTTTTATTTATTTTTTAAAGAAAAATTATGACGTAATTTTCGATGAGATAGCGAGACGAAATTATTAATTAGAGGATAAGATGTATGCGGAAATATGAAAGTTAAAATTTTTGAAAACTCTTGTTAAACATTTTCAAGTGGTTTAAAGGTTATTTTATTATTTTTATATTGTATTGCGGATATAATGTATCAATATCTTTTTGAAAATTTCATAATTTTTATACCTACTTAATGATCGTTTTTAATTTTACTATGAATATCAAAAAATTCTAATACAAATAAAATGTATATACATATTTGAGATTGGATATATATTTAAAAGTTGGTATGTATTAAAACTTTCGATTCTTGCTTAAATGTTTTTGAACTTTATGAAGTTAAAAAAAAAAAAATGTTTTATTAGACAATTAAACAGTTTGTATTGATATTGTTGATTTATTGCCGCGTGGAGATTTAGATTAAACATATAAAAGCGAACCATTGAAAATCAAGAGCCGAAATGCAACCAGCTCTGAAGAGTTGCGTGTATGCCCAAAAAGCCGAGGCTACAAATTGATTCAGCACAGTCCTGGTGCACAATGCTGTAGGCCCAAGCGAGCGGCAGGCTAAAGGGAAAATTGCCAAAATCAACACAAGTCTCTCCAATCTACTTGCAGCAATCTGCGTTAAATTTTTTTCAATAACAAACTTTAATCTTCTACAATGGGTGGAAAGAACTAGTAAAAAATAATAGTGCTAGAAAATTGACGGCGCCGAATCGGGCTAGTTTACGGTAGACTTACCCAGTCCAAAACATGCAGCCGTAAATGACAGTACATTATTCTTAATGCGGGGTCCCATTTCACGGTTGGCTATCTCTTAATGGAAAGACTAAGATAAATTAGTCCACTCAACAGCTCGCAGAGGAACTGCGGGACAAATGCTGGTATGGAACAGGTCCTGATGGCCGAGTGGTTTGAAGCGTGAACTTAAATATTTTCGAGTCCAATGAAACTGATCCGAATCTGGCCTTGAGTGTTGAAATTTATTTCGTGGCGGACCCATAGTGAATCTCGACCTTCCCAATATGATTAGAATAGGTTTAGTCGTACCTCTTGAACAGCCTTCCTGTATACCAGAAATGGAGATATAGGGAAGGAGTAATGTTAAAAAAGCTTAATGGCAATACTGGGCATTAATATAGCCCAAATTATTAACCCACTAACGCTGAACGTCTACACACTAAAAAATATGACACCCAGTCAGTGTGTGATTGGATGTCATGAAGTTATGAGGTCTTGGGTTCGTTTTCTTTTCTTTCCTGATGATGCCTGAATTGGCGAAACGTTGACGGGTTATTTTATTTTTTACCTTTACTTTAGAGACACAAGGATGTGCGGTTGGAAACTTGCCTATTTAAACCTAACACAAAAAAACCTTATCATATGTATATATGTACCTTGATAAAAATGAGAACACTGTTATACGAATATGTTTGTGTTTCTACCTCGTCATTTATAATATATGCAACACAAATATTTTGTAAAGAAGAGCTGCAGTCTCCGCTATATATTATAGTATATATTATAAAATATTCAGTAGAAATATGGATTATCAAACCGTTTATTTATATTTAACGTCATTCAATTATGAAAGATAACAGTTTCACTGTTTGTTTCATATGTTTCCAAATGATGAGAAAAATAATGAATCCATTATTTAAATTTATGTACAAAAATAGACACCTTATCTTTGTTGTTAATCGTATCATTTAATTGCTTCCTCATATCTTGTTTACCTGGCCATAAAGACGACCTAAGACTTTCGCTAATACGTCTTTATTCAGATATCTCAAAAAAAACTGTAATAACTTTTTTAGCTTGTTTTGTTCTGTTTTGTTTTGTTCTGATCGCACTTTCTTTTTACGGTCATATCCTACAATTAAATTTTGAAAAAAAAGTATGATAACCTTGATTGAGCTCCGAAAAAAATGATAAGCAATAGCCTTAGCATGTCTGCATATATATATGTATATATACAAAAAACAACAGAATAATGGAGATATTGTTGACGTCTCTGATGGAATTGCTGGATTATGTTATTAAAGGAAGTTTCGGCCAACGTTACATACCTTCTCAAGATTACAGAAATCGGCAATAGTGTCCTATCCATAACGCACATTTTCCAAGATTGTCCGTTTTATATTCGAAAATTAAATGACTTAGAAATATCACGAAATATATCATTAGCCTTAGGAAATGACAGCAATAGAACTGACAAAATTATAACATTTCTAACAAGGGTAAATTTAATGAAAGAGCAATAATAATAATTTCTATTTATCTTTTATATATTTTGTTTTCCGTTTTATACATTACCCTATCTCCCCCCCTTATTTTATTTATTTATTTTTTATTATTATAACTCTTTAATTTATTTTTTATTTATTTACTTTTCATATGTATATATTTTTTATCTATTATTTTTACTTATTTATTTATTTATTATATATATATATATATATATATATATATATATATATATATATATATATATATATATATATATATATATCAAGTAGAGGCAAATATTTAAAAGGTTGATAGTAGACATTAAGATTTAGAAAGAAGTTCATATATGGATTATGAACTATTGCCCCCAGCAGAAAAGTAGGAAATTCAAGATTTGTAAATTTTTAAGTAAGTCACGTTAAGTTAAGTAATATTTTATTTAAGTAGTTGTCCATTGCTTCATAGTTAACTAGATGAAATTTAATTCAAATTAAAGTTGATATTGATATTGTTAAGACCATTTAAAGGGGACTTTTGATAGGCTGAACTTAGCTAAGTTCATCATCCAACTATACTACTGATATTCTACTTTTTGAAAAACTACTTTTTTTAATAAGCCTTAGAAATTAATGAAAAGCTCTTATTCTATTATGAGATATGTATAATAAATCATTGCTATTGCAATTATGACTGCATCGTAAACGTCAGTGTGGTTATTGTCACGGCTTCTTAACGAATGAATTTTCTTAAGCCTCTACCTCCGTTTTTTTTTTTTCATTGGTACCGGAAATGGTTAGACAATCGTATACTTCTCATCCAAGAAAATGAATAAGGCATGTTATAATGCACTGAGTTTTGTATGTTTTAAATATAACTGTTTTGCAAAATTCACTGATTCGTGAAGTGCGAGCTTGCACGCGATGCTGGTACTGAACTTGTCTGGGGGTGAACCCTTCATTCCAGAGGTCACTCGACGTCGTTACTCTGAATTGTGCAATCAGATGTATTCCGACGCGGTACTTCACAGACCGTTGGCAATCACAAGGAAAACGTTACGGCTTTTCCTCAAAAAGTGGGATGACACGGTCGTAAGCTCTGCGGTTGCGGATCTCGACAATGCCTTCGACTGTGACAGAACGCCGGCTTCGGGGAGTATTAGTGTATGTGCTCTATCTAATAGCAGGAAGCTGAATATATGTTGCTTTTTTTATACCTCCAGATTAACTCGGCTAATTTCAATCCGTTTGATGGTTCCCGGTTAAATTATTTTAAATTAAGCATTTAATTTTTTTTAACAAGAACGGAGTATAGATTGATTATCCACTTCCAGGAGGGCTCATCTCCCTAAGTTCGAAAAGTTTCATGGTTTTACCTTGTTCTTCTGGTTCAACTTT